TGCAGTCCTCATGATTCCTTCCGAGTAAATTGTAAGGGTGGAGAGATATGAGAGATAGCATGCATCCCTGTCGGATACTTTGTCCAATACTAAACGAGTTAGTGGGGCCGTGTGTTGCTTTAACTGTAGATGTTCAGAGGCGGAGCTTCAATGGTGGCACGGGGAGGGGGGGCACCCCCCTGCAATCTGAATGGCCACCTCATGTGTCCCCCAATGACCAGTGATCCTGTATATATATAATAATATATTAATATATGATATGTATATATCAATATATGGTACACACAGCATGACAACATAAGCAATGTATAACTGTACAATATAAATATTGAAGTGGGGATCCTTAATTTTTGTCACTTTTGCCCCCCCTCCCCGATTTATTATTGTTACCCCTGTGCCCCCCAACAAAAAATTATCTGGACCCGCCCCTGTAATTGTTTTGTTGCTGTACATATTTCTAACCAGTTCCACAGCGTGAGTAGAGAATCCCATTTCAGTCATTCTAATCCAGAGCAATTCGTGAGAGACCATATCCAAGGCTTTTTTGTAATCGATGAAACAAAGATGGATGTTTTTGGCATATTCTCAGTTCTTCTGAATGACCATTTTAAGGTTCAGGTTCAAGTGGTTTTAGTGCCCATATCAGGTCTGAAACCAGCTTGTTGTCACTTAGTTCCTCGTTCAGTTTTGATTTCATTCTGTTTGCATTGATTTTGAGCAAGATTTTGTTGATATGGCTAAAGAGAGCAATTGTGCCATTGTTAATGCATACGTGAGTATCGCCTATTTGGAATTGGGACAGACTGATTTCATCCAGTCTTCTGGCCGTTCTCTCTTGGTCCTGATAGCACAGCAAATTTTGTGGAAATAAACTGAAATATTGCCGCCAGTGTTTTTGAAAAGTTCAGATGGAATTTCATCAAATCCTGGACTTTTTCCAAGTTTTAGCTCGCTAATAGCCTTCTTAATGTATGAGAGTAGTGGCTATTATTCATTGTTGTAGATCAGATTTGGTGCATTTGGAATAGTGATTTTGATTTTCTCGTGTAATTTGTGGCAATATTGTTCCCATTTTTGTTTGACTTCTCTTTCACTCAATAACCCCCCCCCCCCCTTTAAAACTCTTAGTATCAATTGATGGTCTGAGTGTATCAGTTACGTTTTTGACTCCTTGATAAAGGTTTTTCATTGCTTAGTATGTTTTTTTCTCAATTTGTTGGCATTGATCGTGGATATATTTTTTTCTGTCTTTCCCTATCATTTGCATTTGGTAGATGGTTAAGTCCTTTGAAATCCAAGGATATTATCTTTTTCTTCTACAAGCAATTTTATCTTTCGAAGTGGATAAAATTATATTCTTTCCTTCTTCTATTAATTCGTTTGGGGATTTACCATCATCACTTTCGTTTAGAGCTGCAACTTTGTTGGTGATTTCAACTTTGTCCCCTTCATTTTAGGGTGGCATAATCAAGACGCACTGGTGGAGGGGGTTTCTGGAGCCGTTTCAGTCTGATTCTGAGGTCTGCCAATGCTGGCGGGGCAAAGTAATGAACTTATATGGCTTCCCTCTTTCTTCTTAAGAGCTAACACACGAGTTGAATAGAACACGATATGAGACTGCTGGTTATACCCGCGGTATAGCAAGCTCTGGCGAGGGCAGCTACCGCGCGGAGGGTAGGGGGGGGGGCTACCGTGCCGAAGGTAGGGGAGGGGTCCCTCGCGGTACGAGGAGCAGTCCAAGTGAGAGTGAGAGCTGGCTCGACTTTTTTCTTTCTTTCTTTCTTACCCACGCTGACATCACGTGGTGTATGAGCTTGCATGCTACATTATGTTATGCAGTTTGATATAGCAACTGGTGTTCAGAATTACAGTCGGCTCCTGGTCTGGTTTTATCTTTCAGACTGCCTTTCCATTTTTGGTTTAGTGTGATATAGTCAATTTGGTTTCTGGTTTTAAATCTGTAGAGATCCAAGTGACGAGGTGTCGTGGATGGTGATTGAAAAGAATGCTTCTTATTACAAAACTGTTGGCAATACCAAAATCAATATGGTTTTCTCCATTCTCGTTTTGCCAAATTCCCCGATGGATGTAGATGCAGAGTTGTCTTTTTTCACCTAACAGGATTCTGATATCTCTGGAAAGGATAATGTCAATCGTTTCTTGTGAACAGTTGTAGAATTCGCCTCTTTCTTCACGTGCAGTGCTAGTGGAAGCATAGCATTGGATTATGCTATTCTGGGGGTTTCCTTGCAGTCTGAGTCTCAAGATTCTGGCCGACACTGGGTTGTTTCCCAAGAGAGATTTTGCAATGTCTTCAATTATAACTATGTTCCATGGTTGTATGCAGCATTTCCTTTGCCGGCGAAGAAAATAGTCTTGTTTCCAGTTGTTTTGAAACTGCTACTCGAATCACCACTTCGTTTCTGTCCATTTTATTGCAAATGTGAAGTTTGCCTAGTTCTTTCAATTTCCGAATGTCCCACGTTCCAATTCTCACCTCTGTTCTGAAGTTCAAGGCATGCTTTCCAGTAGCATGCTTCTCATTGGCAGTCTGGTTACCCACTGGACCACGCGCTCCTTAGTAACCAGGGCAACGAGCGATGCGGTATGAGTTTTGTTCGTTTTGTTTATCATGGAGAGTGGTCAGGAGTAAAATTAGACAGAGTAGAGGCTCAAAGATTCTTTCTCTGCCGCAGTTTCCAGCTAACTAGGAAGCATCCCTACCGTTTGCTCAGTTGCACTGAACTTCCACTAGATAAGCAAGAGTCAAGGAACCTAACAAACAGTGGCATTATTAAAGCTTCCAGTCATATCCACTGACTTGCTGCCATCAGCTCCATAAGTTAGCTGTGATATATCAGGAATCCCACACATCCACCTCACCCAGCTATGAACCAGAATAGTGGTGCCACCTGAGTCGCCGACAACCTCAACAGGCAGTACTGGAGACAGGGTTACCAGTAGCAGTATGCACTGGCCTGTCTATATGTGTGTGTGTGTGGGGGGGGGGTTGCGTGCGTGGGCGGAGTGTAGAATAACACTGGAGTGTTATTTTCGGCGCGTAAAGTGAGGCCATGTTTGAATCTGAGAATTACCTCAGACTCAAAGTTGCGGCTGATTGTGTAGAGCTTTTTGAACGATTTTGATCAAGCTGTGAAGTGAGTGTTTGGCATGATAAACGCCAATATTTCTGACATCGATGGGGGAAGGGTCGGTATGGTCGGACAGAACAGGACTCCCCACCAATATAAACTTCATGGAGGAGGTCGTCTACAGAAGGTAATCTTGGCAATATTGGCGTGGGACTTCCGGTGGCTTCTGGGAGGAATAATGTAGCATTTTCCTGATACTGTATCACAGTCAAATAAAAGGAAGGTATAAGCCAAAGACGGAATGAATGGGCAGTAAGAGGAAGGGATTGGAGATGAGGAAAGGGTGAAGAGAGCTTCCATACGAACGAAGAATGTAGTTGATAAGCACGAAAAGGAGGAAAAGGTAAGATGAAGGGATTGTGGGAAACGAGCATAGTTCTGGAAACAGAGAGAAGGTCACGGCATCGAGAGAGGTAAGTAGGCCTGATGCAACGTATAGTCTCTCAATTGATGAGGATCAAAAGGTACTTGGGGCTAAGCGGACACAGAAGAAGATAAAGTGATATGAGGAGAGTTTTGTTGTCTGGACGCCAGGATATATATAGGAGAGAGCAACAGTTGGAGTTGACGTCGGACTTCTCCTTTAATAGAGAGGGCATGGTCCCACTAAGGCAATTTGGAGTGGAAAATAACACTATGGAACTTAACAGAGAGACGGAATTATTGAAGCAGAACGGATTCTAATAGTTGAGCAGGGATAGTGGTTTGAAAGGGAAGTACAACACAGTGTTTTCAGATGGACAGACAGAGTTAACAGGAAGAGAGTAAATGGAAGATAAAACTAGGAATAGGCATTGGGCAATGTGTAAGAAAAGTTTCTTCAAGGCAGACAGTAGATTGGTTAAAGGATGATAGAAGATGATCAGGTCTGTGTGAAAGGGAACCTCGAACATCCGGTGCAGGAAAGCCATTATGGAATATACGGGTAAAAAGGGTAGAATTGGTGTCGGAAAAGTAGGAGTCAAGGAATTTGAGGATTGAAGCAGGGAGTAAGGGGAATGAGGTGAAATATTAGGAGGAACATCAAGGGAAGGACTTTGTTGTGACAATGGATGTTCACGTGAACACGTGGAATAATGGGAGAAGGAGGGGGGTTGGTGCAGGTGGAGAGGGGAGGATGGGGTGTGGTAGGAGCAAGTGGGAGGAAGAGGGGAACAAGAAGAGAATGAAGCTGAATGTCGGCTGTCACTTCGATTGTAGAGAGAATGGGAATAGAGACTGGATGGTGGATGGGTGAGAGGTGTTCTCTTGGGTCATGTTTAACCCTCTCCTCTCTCTCTCCCCTCTTTCTCCCTCTCTCTCTCTCCTCTCCCTTCAACTTCCCATCTTAACCCTCCCCGCTCCCAGTCAAATTCTTTTACCATTCTAAATCCAAATAGTCCGATCTCTACCACTTTCCCATTGCCTGCCCCCTTCCCCTCGCCTTACCTGCCGCACATGACAATCTAAAGTGTTCCTACTCCTACTTCATCCTCTCCTACACGTACATCTTTCGCTCCTGCTCTGCCCCTAATCACAAGAAAACCATCCTTTCTCAGACCTCCCCACTGAACTCCGCTCCGGAAACTCTGGAGGATATCCAAAACTTTTTAATGAGTTAATGTCAAAAGTAGTACGGTATTTTAGGGTAGCAAGAAATTGGACAGGGTAAACTGAAGTGAGTAAATGGGACAATCAGCCAGGGATATGAAGTCAATTCCAGTACAAATATTAAGGGAAGATTGAGGCTAGGTAGGGATGATTTGCCAGTGAGGCTAATCAGGGTATGATTGACAAGTCGTGAAAAGTTGAAAGGTTATTTTGCATATTTGTCTGAAGATATTTTTGGTAGAGGATAGTATTGTCAGGGTAAGGGGCTGTAGGGGGATTTTAAAAAAATCCATCTCACTTGGCTGGGCTAAAAAGAGTACTCAAAAGGTCTTTAGATACTGGAATAGTAGGAGGATTTGAGCGAGAGGAAGAGGGGGTGGTCTTGCCTGAAGTAGTTCTGCAGAGAGGGGTACGATAAGGATGAAAAGTAGTGATAAGCGCGGAGTTGAGAATGGCAACTGGAACAAGAAGAGATGGAGTGGAAGAAGTTGGGAGAGAAGGAAAAATTCTGAAGGTTGGGTAATGACCTGGCTAGGTGATTTTAATGGACTGGGGGTAGTAGTAGCTGTGTTCAGAGTCATGATCAAATGAGAGCCAAGGGTCGGGGAATCGAAAAAGTTAATGTCTGGGGGCTAGTTGATACAGAGCAAGCCTCAATGCCTTTAATAAGGGTACAATATGATTATTGGCCATGGTGAGCCCAGAATATGTGAGGAAAGGAAATGGTTTACTCCCTTTGAGGGGTAGGGGCTTGATAATCAAACGGAGGAATACAGTCCCATGAATACTGACCCAAAGCCAGTTTTTTATTCCTTCAACACGGCTCTCACTTCTAATGCAGTTGATAAGCGATTCAAGAAGAGAAGGAAAAGGGAAGGGGGAGTAGAAAATATCAAGTAGAGAGGGACAGGCAGACAGCGGAAGAGGGAGGGGGAAGGAGAGGGGAAGGGGGAGGAGAGAGAGAGAGGAGGGTGAGAGAAAGAGAGATAGAGAAAGGGGGGGGGAGAAAGAGAAAGAGGAAGGAGAGAAGAGAGAGGGGAGAAAGAGAGAGAGAGGGGGAGAGAAAAGAGAGAGAGAGGAGGGGGAAAAGAGAGAGAGAGGGAGGGAGGAGAAAGAGAGGAGAGAAGAAGAGAGAGAGAGGGGGAAGGGGAAGAGAGAAAGAGAGGGAGAGGGGAGAGAGTGTGTGAGCGGAGTGTGCGTGCGTGCGTGTGTGCGTGCGTGCGTGCGTGCGTGCGTGCGTGCGTGCGTGCGTGCGTGGTGCGTGCGTGCGTGCGTGCGAGCGTGTGTGTGTGTGTGTGTGTGTGTGTGTGTGTGTGTGTGTGTGTGTGTGTGTGTGTGTGTGTGTGTGTGTGTGTGTGTGTGTGTGTGTGTGTGTGTGTGTGTGTTTGTAAATGGGTTAAGGTAGGGATAAGCAAAAGGGCAATAAGATCAAATGTATGCGCCTAAGGAAGAAAAAGTATTTAAAGGAAAGAGTGTGGGATTTCACTGCAATGCCCATGGGTTAGGGATTAACAAAGTGGGGAAAGGGGGTTAAAGGTGATTTGATCAGAGCAGTTTCTGGAGAAATGTCAGGTGGTGGTGATGCAGGGACTGACACTGTTGTGATAAAAGGGAATCACATGTGTATCCTTGAGGGAGCATAAGGGATACCAGGGAAGGGAGGGAGTGGTGCAGAATAAGCAGGGGAGGATGGAGTGTATTGGGAGAGTGCGAGAGGAATGGGTGTAGGGGGAACCTAAGTAGGAGGATGGATGGATGTCGGCAGTCACTTTGAGTGCAGAGAGAATGGGAGTGGAGACAGTGGAGGATGAGAGAGGGTTAGGTGTGTCATTTTGGATCATGACCAAATATTTTCGATTGTCCTTGAGTTTCTTGAAAGGGGGTTGGTTTGGGTGGTTTGGGAAGTTTGAGAAATGGGTTTCTTATGAGGGTGAGAATGGTTGATTGTTATTGTTTAAGAGGCAAAATAAATGTGCTAGAAATCCAAGGTCACATAGCACTATAAATAGGTACAGTAAAGGGTGGAAGGGTGATAGTTGTTATGCGTCAACTATCTATAGTAGTATGGAAAGGTTAAAAATAGGCAAAGGAGTTGATGAGTGGATGAGTTAAAAGCCCCCCCCCCCCCCCCCACACACACACGCAAACGGTGGGCAAGGGATGGGGAGAGGAGGAAGAGAAAAGGAGACAGAAATCTGAGAAGAGGAAGAGGTAAATGTAAAAACGGATGCGGTACAACATGGGGTGAACCATTTAGGTTGTCTGATGCCATGGTTAGAGCAAGGAGTAGTAGTAGTAGGAGTAGGGACTAGGGAAATAGAGATTGGAGTGGCCGCATACCGTGGACCAATGTAAGGTCTTCGATCTCTGTCTCATAACCCCTCTATGACAGCAGTGGATATGGGATGAAAGAAAGAAAGAAAGAAAGAAAGAAAGAAAGAAAGAAAGAAAGAAAGAAAGAAAGAAAGAAAGAAAGAAAAGAAAGAAAGAAAGAAAGAAAGAAAGAAAGAAAGAAAAGAAAGAAAGAAAGAAAGAAAGAAAGAAAGAAAGAAAGAAAGAAAGAAAGAAAGAAAGAAAGGAGACAAATTGAAATCCTCATCTCTCTTGTTCCTTTTCTTTATTTCATTCTTTCATTCACTGAACTCTTTTCTCCCGTTTTTGCTCTTGTTTTCTGTAACACTAATTTTCTCCAATTTAGAATATATTTTAAAATACCCCAAAATGATGCAACCTTGACTACCCTTATACAACCTTTGCTGGTTATCATATCGGCTAACCTCTTCTGAGGGATGATACTGAGAAAATATTTTTTCCATCTTGAAATAGATCTGTGAAGCTTCCCAAATAATTTTTGAAAGATATTTAACATATAAAAAGTATGAAAAAATATTTATGATAACAGACTACATATCCCATAAAGAACTTGATAAGCATTTTTTTTAAAGAAATGTTCTTTATTTCACTACCACAAATTTATATTGCAATATAAAGATAGAGAGAACCCTACTCACAAATCAACAAACATTCTGTTCAACTTGGAAATCGGGAAGAATAAACAATGTATATATATATATGTACTTAATTTTATTTATTGATACAAACACTCCCAACTAATCATCAGTATTTGCACTGAATGCATTTGATGCATATCACCAAACTACATTTCTGTGAATTATTATATTCAATTAATTTTCTAGAGGAACACTGATAATCTATTTGCACTTTTTATGTAGCAGAATATGGGTGATCACAGATAAACTACAAAAATATTTCATAAATTCCAAAAAATCTTGCAGATTTTTTTCATTTACCTATGCAGTTTGCTTTTGGAATGTAAGAAACAGCAAAATGATATTAATTTATATCATGGTGTTACTCCTGGGAATTTTTTTTCACCTAATGTATGAGAACATAAGCTTTTTTTCTTGCAATTCCAAATTTGGCAACTCTCTTCATGCCTCCAAACATTTCTTCAGTGCATAATATCTGCTTAATTTAGAGGAATTTCTCCAAGCTCATAATTGACCATCCAAGCTTATCGCATCACTGGCATCGCTGTTGCTGACTGTGTTGGAGTAACGTCAGACTCTTTCCACATCTGAGTCACTGTCTTCAACTGAGTGTAGAAATTGATGCCCTAAAACAAAAGATTAGAATTAATTTTCATGGAAAATCTTAAAATTTTGTATCTGTGTCTATTAAACCAGCTTTAAGTTTCTGGAGGAGCACTAGCCCATAAGCATCAGGTACAGCTAATGTCCACTATAGTTTTGTTTTGTCTATTTTGTGTATAAAGCACTTAGCCACCAAGGATTGTTATAAGGCCTATCTGATCTCCCTTCTTTACTCCATTCCTTAATTTTTAGAAAACAAAGATTATATTTCTAATAATAATATTATTATTATTATTAAAAGTTATTATGTTATTAACAGTACAAATTGTAATAAAAATTCAAAGAGTAGGATAAACAAGAGAGATCAAAACATGCCTAACAAGTAAACTCCTTTGTGACTAATCACTTGTGGATCCTTTTATTTATGAACAAAAATAAAAGTACAATATTCAAATGGACAAATTATCTTCATGTTAGGAAATCGTATAAACACATTCCAGTAATATTTATAAGTTCTTTTAGCTGCACTATCATGTTATCCTTTGTTTACAAAAAGGGTAAAAAAGAAAAGTGCAGGTGTGAATCACATTATAACATGACATTCTAAAAATCCCAAAGCTAGATAATTTGGATGTAAACATTGGTGTGGTATTAAAACTAATGACCTACAAAACACACACATATGGTGTGAAATATTCATTTAGCAATTACCTAAATCAGTCTTAAGAACAAGGCCTTTATAAGTTTAGCATACTTACAGCTTTGCCATAGAAATTAGCATCTCCAAGGAATGATCCACGAGAGCCGGTAAAGGAGAACATGGGCAGTGGCACTGGGATAGGCACATTTACACCAACCTGTTTCATGGAATATGTCATTGTATTATTAGATAATGCCAGAGATGAATTAAACCAATACTTCAGATGATCCCATCCCACACAGCACTGCTAATTGTACAGCTTCCTATACTTACTTGACCAACATCGATGTCACTGGTAAATTTCCTTGCAGTAGCTCCATTGGTGGTGAAGATGGCAGTACCATTTCCATAGCAGTTAGTATTAATTAGGTCCACAGCTTCATCGAGTGTGTCAACAGAGAGTGCAACTAACACTGGGCCAAAAATCTCCTCCTTGTAGCATTTCATGTTAGGCTGTGGATGCAATAATATATCAGTCAATTCTGTTACTTGAATGGCAAAATATCACCTTTTGCATAACAAGACCAATTTCATTAATCAAAACAGCTTTCCTTAGTTTTACTTACTGTAACATCTGCAAGAATAGTGGGACCAACAAAATTTCCATTCTCATATCCTGGCACAGTAATATTACGCCCATCAAGAATACAATTTGCTCCTTCATCAATTCCAGCCTGGACAAGACTGCAGATACGATCACGAGCTTCAGGAGAAATAACAGGACCCAAATCAGCTCCAGCCACATGCCCAGCATTTACTTTTAGATTCTTTGACCTGTCCACCAACTCTGGCAGCCAGTTCTTAGCCTCACCAACAAAGACTGCTGTACTAAGGGCCATGCATCTAGGGATAAAAAGGAAATCTAAATCAATAAATTAATATTGATACATAATTCATTAAGGCAGAACATGCAAACATGAATCAATGTATCTCATATGGTAAATTTACATATATCCTGTATCTTTTTACCTCTGGCCTGCAGCTCCAAAGGCAGCTCCAACTAGCTGTGTCAATGTGCTTTCCTTGTTGGCATCAGGCATGATCACTCCATGGTTTTTGGCTCCCATATTTGACTGTACTCTCTTGCCATTCTTAGATCCTCTCTCATAAATGTACCTTCCCTATAAATGTGGAGAGACAAGATATATAAATTAATTTAGTGTCACAAGCACATGTCTATACACATCTGTAGCCACAATGGTGAATATAAAAATAAAAGTAGCAAGTTACAAAAATAAAAAAGTTACTAACAGCTTGGTCTGATCCAACAAAGGAAATTGCCCGAATAGCTGGATTGTCACATATAAAGTTGACAGCATCATGCTGACCATGGATAACATTAACAACACCATTTGGACAGCCTGCTTCCTTTAGCATTTCAACCAGCATCATTGTAGCTCCTGGGACACGCTCAGAAGGCTTAAAGATATAGGTATTTCCACAAACCAAAGCAACAGGGAACATCTGCAAGAGAGGAAATGGCAAGGGAAGGAGTGAGAAGAAAAAAATATGTTACAAAAACATTATATTATATTTAAAAAGTAAAACAAAATTAGTGTCATCATTAAGTCACAGGTATAAAGTACATGAAGGCAATATTAACATACCCAAAGGGGAATCATCGCTGGGAAATTGAAAGGGGCAATGCCAGCACACACTCCAAGGGGCACACGGAAAGAAAAGGCATCCATGTCACGAGCAATACCAGGCATAGTCTCCCCAAGCTGCAAACTGGTGATACTGCAGCAGTGTTCCACAACCTCTGTATGTAATATATTGAAAAACTTCATTTCCACATTTCCACAGATACCACAACGTAAAGCAATATATGTTAAATATAAAAAGTTTGAGAGACTAAAATGACAAAACTAGCAAAAGTTATGCTTATACAAACTTTTTATCATGCTTATTATGACTTGTTTTTGCCACAAGCAATTTAAATACAAACACTGAGTGTCTATCATATTGGTGTCATTATATAGCAATTCCACTCTTTATGCTATTAGGATTAAAACCAACAATTAAGCCAGATAGATATGCATACATATATATGTCTGGGGCACAATACAGCCACAAAAAAAAAAAAATTGTTGGTCTTTTGTATATGTACAGAAAATTATCTATCACTTTATATTTCAAACTGAACAGTTTAGTTAAACATTTCTCATACAATCCCAATATAAAAATGTCTTCATTTTTAAAGTGCTGTTATGCTGTGATGGATCACATACAGCCTGCTGTTCTGTCAATACAATTTATGTAAATAAATGAATTTACAAAAACTTGTTTTCCTAAAAATCATGATTTTTTTTTTTTTTTTTTTTTTTTTTTTTTTTTTTTTTTTTTTTTGGTCTGCTATTGTTTCAACTACAGTATTCTTAAAAGGATGTAAGCAAAATATTAAATCCTAATAGCAGGACTTTAATTTCAATTCCATGCACTTAATTCATACGAATTCAGCAGCAAAGCAACTTTGCATTGACATGACAGATATTACACTAGACCAACAAACATTGATTCCTAAATAGAGTTCACTGACTAATGAGGAAATAGGTATAATAAGAATTTTACAATGTAATAGGAATAATGTACACAATTCAATCAATACTTTCTTAACTACCCGAGAACATTAAAATTATAGCGCAGCATGACAGATTTCTAACTGCCATGCTTAGTTAGGTAATGATAGTGATGATATGAGATAAGTGGATGTTTTGAGCAACTAGATTGGATATTTGTAGCTCAAGAGGATATACCAATAAGCTGTCTTGATTTTTTAGCCATCTGTCCACTCAACAAAAGGGACAGAAAAACAGTTATTACTAATTACCCTTTTCACCACAAGATTTTAAAGGAATTTTTTTTTTTTAGAATACTGATATTTCTGTGTGTTTATCAAAAAGGAAATTTTGCAGTAAATACTGACCTTATAATTTTCACTATTTTTAGGTGTTTTAATGTTCTATTATTGAGAAAATCTATTATCTTTATAGTCTTTAGTCATATTTTTATCCCTTTTCAATACCTAAGTTCACTGAAGAAAAACTAAAATATACCACTAATCATATATATGGCAGTTATCAAAAGCTTGCAATGAACTATCAGTGGTATATAAGGTAAAGCCCATGTTAAATCTTCTTAAGAATTACAGCCAATACCAGACTACTGAAGTTTATGAAGGCTCTTTGACAGTGAAAGCCAGACTACAGGCTTATCAAGGTCTTTGGATAGTAGGAACTGTAGTCAAGCTATTCTTCACTTTCTTGGCTCTCTGGTCTCTGCTTTTAAAAATATTGAATTAAATTATTTGGGCTGTAAAAAGGCTATATGAAAGTTAAACAATGTTTTTCTAAACACTAAACTTAAAATTATTCACTTCAAATGAAAGTAATTTCACAAAAGCTCTATATCAAAAATCCCCATTACCTCATCTACAATAATTTCATATGTATAACAGCAGATTCTTGATTTATCACTGTTTACATTTACAAGTCATCATCTCAAAGTACAAACCACAAACACTGAGTGGATACATAGACGTACTTTTATATTCATAATGGTGCATCTACAATAACTTTTTTCTCTTCAAATGAATAAGCCTGTAAAAGTTGACCCTACCTTGACAAATATATATCTTTTTTATGTATAACTAGTCCAATTCCAAGTTAAAAACAAAGAGCCTTCAACTACAATGCTCATAGAGACCTAGGTCAAGATTGCCTTTACAGATCTCAATAAAATGACTGAAGGTGATGATTTTTATGTTCTCTGATTAAAAGTGTCTTACATTTCAGGTCTCCTCGGATTTGTATTAGTTATGTACAGTGAACCCTCGTTTTTCACGGGGGTTACGTTCCAAAAAGAACCCGTGTTAGGTGAAATCCGTGAAGAAGTAACCTTTATTTTTTTTACAATTATTATACAATTAAATACTCTACAATACATTGAAACCAAAGAACAAAACGTTTTTACAGGCCCAAGCATTTGTTTAACAAATAAAAGTACTGCATAAACGTTTTTTACAAATAACTACTGTACTGTAAAATAATAATTTTAATCATCAATACGAACTGAAGCCTTCATGGGTTTTAGAGAAAACTTTAATTTGGCAAGCTGTTTTACGTACATGTACATATTAAACCGTAATGTTATTGACACACAGGTATAGAAGAAGCGGAGAGACTGTTTAGTCAATCAGAATGCAGAACACAATGCACAATGCAAATCCGTGAAGCAGTGAGAACGCGAAAGGTGAACTGCGTTATAGCGAGGGTTCACTGTACTTTTTTCTTGAACATCTCAATAGGGGAAACGGCATAACCTGACTAATATTACTTTGGCATATCACCAAATGTAAAGGACTTGAAAATGTATCACAAAATCTTTTCACTAAAATGGGATACGAACTGGTACTTAAGTAACAGCATTTTAACATGCTATTCATACATTTTTGTAAGAGAATAAAATAATACTTACGTAAGCCTCGCAGAACATCTCCTTCAGCATCAACAAGAGTTTTCCCTTGCTCAAGTGTGATGTTCTTTGCCAGTTCATGCTAAAAATTCATTAAGAAAAATAAATAAGAAGGTAAACATTGCTAACTAAACCAGTGATCACCATGAAAGTATGCATTTTTAACATTTTCATGCTTTTAAAGTCGGATTAAATTATTATAATGTCATCTCGACTGACATATGCCCTAAGATTTTTTTTCTTTCTTTTACATCTTCAATTACACAAATTACCAAAATACAAAATCTGTATAATCACTTTACCAAAGAAATGCCTTCCAAGTTTACAACAACTTACAATATTATCTTTAATCAACTGCTGGTACTTGAACATGACTTGCTGTCTCGTAAGTACTGAGGCTTTAGACCATGATTTAAAGGCAGCTTTGGCTGCATCAACTGCAGCCTGCATCTCATCTTGTGTGCTCTTTGGGACTCTGGTCACAACCTATGAAAAAATACAATTACATTATTATTCAATATTTAACATCTTTCACCCATTCATACAAAACATTAGAGAATGATTAATGGTTATAAAACAATATTAATAACTAACCAGGTCATATAGCATTGTAGGATGGTGTAGTAGTAAAAAGGGTAAAGAGGGGAGCGAGTTGATGATCAAATGTGCTACACATTAAGTCACCAGCAGTTTAGGTTAATATGATACTGAAAAGGGTAAAGGGAGGTGAGTATATGGATTAAAATAAGGATAAGCAAAAAGGAGAGTAGATCAAATGGATGCATTAGAGCAAGGAAATGTCAAAGGAAAAAGTGTGGTATTACACGAGGCGATTAGTCATAGAGCAGTATCAAGAGGAATGTCAGGAGGGGAAGAATCCAGGGAAGGGCACTATTGTAACAAAAGGAAGTTGTGTGTATCCAGGAGTGACTGAAGGGATAACAGGAAAGGAAGGGGAATGCAGATGAAGCAGGGGAAGATTGTGATGGGAGAGAGTAGGAAGAAGGGGTGTAGGGGGAACATGAAAAGGAGGATAGACGGATGTCAGCAGTTATTCACAGTATAGAGAAAAGGTAAACAGTCATTGGAGGATGGCTGAGGGATAGGTATGTTAAATTGGCTCATGATTAAGTAGTTTTGTATGTCCAAGATTTTCTGAAAGGGAGCTAGTTGGAGAGGTCTGTGAAACAAAGGTTTTTTTATGAGGGGGGAAAAGAGGGGACATATGTTTGAAGTGCAGATGCAGAAGGACATGGGGTAGAATGTTTGGATTATCTGATGTGATGGGTAGAGCTACTAGGAGGAGGGGTAGGCACTGTGGAAGTAGAGATTGGAGTGTCTGGCAAAAGAATTTGACTAGGAGAGGGAGGGGACTGAAGTGGTACTGTAAATAGGGCTGCTAGATTTTCCAACTCTTGTTTTCCTAAATGTGCTGATTGGCTGCAGATCATGTGTTGTGATTGGCTATCGGTATTATTCTAGTTTCCTTTGTTGGATTGAGGGGAGAAAACATGTATTGAAGGAGCAACTAGTCTGTGTCCAAGCCAGCCAAAAAATAGTAAATTTGATATTATCTCTTTTCCAGGATCAAATTATTATTGGGAAAAATAAATTCAAATTGTATTATTTTTGTATTTCAGTGTAAACAAGGAGAATATGGTCTAAATTCTGTAATCTTGATAAAATGTCGACAGTGATACCATGGATTGCCTACTACATCCTTAATACATCACAATGTACCAAAAACATCATGGAAACGTCACTGCATACTGAATCCAACAACCCTGAATGTAAGGAAGAAGAGTAAGAAATATTGAGGGATATATATAAACATCTTGGGAAGAAGAGGGAAGGCCGAAGTGAATGACAGCATTGAAGTAGGGAGCAAGACATCAGCATGCTTCCTGCCTGGCCTCACTCCCAAGTTTGAATTTGAAAATTTCTGCCTCAGACTTGAACTTGCAGGTAGGACAATCCATATAAAATTCATTATGTGTGCCATCACAACTGGCACATGTGCATGTTTGCGTAAATGATGGGGCAGTCTAAGTGATCATGGCCAGGATGGGCAATTAGAGGGCAGTGGATTGTGGGGTGGCAATGTTTGGCAGGGTGGCCAAAATGCTAACAATTCTGACATTGATCGGAGAGGGTTTGATATGATCAGACAGTCAGGACTCGCCACCAATACAAACTTCATTGGGGAGGTCATTGAGGGAATAGTGTAGCACTATACTGAAATTGTATCATAGTGAATGAGGCAGGCAAGACCAACCCATGATAAACAGGGAGGGGAGATGGAAAGAGTTCCAAGTGCAGGTATTATGGGAGGAGTGAAGCTGGACAAGAATAGGTTTGCCAGAAAGATAATGCATAAGATTGGGACTCAGATGTAACTTTGACAAGGCATGAATCATTAGACCTGCTGTGGAGACATTGTTGAAAGAGGAGGGTATTATCAACGTAAGGGGCTGTAAGGGGAATTACAAAGATCAATCCTACTTAGCTGGGCCAAAAATAGTACTCAAAATATTGGTAGAGGTGAAAGTAGTTGAAGGATGAGGCCAGGAGGAAGAATAGAAATAAGGGAGTAGGGGGTTGAAAATGAAGACTATGGAGGATAAGGAGATGGAGCAAAGGATAATGTGCGAGAGGGATGTTTTCTGAAAGTTGAGCAATGACCTGGGTGTGTGAATTGGAATGGATTGAGCTGACAGCAAGTCTTGAGGAGAGAGTAGTAATAGTTGGGTTTAGAATTGTGATCAAAGGAGAACCAGGTCAGGGAATTGGAAAAAAATATTTGTGAGGCTAGTTGATATAGGGGCAAGCCTCAAAGCTCCATTAAGGGTTGAAAATCATTATTGGACATAGTAAGCCTGGAACATGTTGGGAAGAGAAATAATTCACCCCTAAGGGTCGCCATGAGGGTTAAGGGCTAGATAACTAAACAAGAGTATACCAATGCCCATGGCTCCCTAAGGATATTCAGTGAACCCTTTACCCTTTCAGTATGGCTCTCACATCTAAGGAAATGGAAAGAGGAAGAGGTTGAAGAAGAGAAGGAAAAAGAAAAGGGGGAGAAGAAAAGACTGCAAAAGGTAGGGGAAACCCCCAACACTGGGCCTCAGTCTCGACCTCCTAAACCCCCCACAATAACAGGCATGGGATTGGGGAAGGGGAGGGGATTACTGAAAAGAAAATCTAAATTATCCATTAAACTTTTTTAAATCAACATCCGAGTAAGTCAGCAATGTATGATTTCAGTTATCCACAAACAGCAAATGCCAATTATAAATTATCTTTATTTCCTGACTCAACAAACTTTATCAAGCTCCTTACTTCATTGGTGGCTGGATTATGCACATCCACAAACTCAGTTGCTTTGCTCTCCACAAATTGGCCATCGATAAAAAGTTTGGTAACAGCTGGAGATGCACTGTAGCTCCTGTGAATGTTCAGGAGGGGAAGACTCTGAAATAGACCATAACTAGATGAATAGATCATATTATTCTTGGATCTTGATTCATGTGCATTCACTTTAGACTACTATAACTATAAATGTTACTACAATGAAAAACTTTACAAAACAAATCAGACTATATAAATGGCCTTTCAGCAAACAGATTAATTGCAATAATTGTATCACATGTCAGTTTAGAGAGATGTATAAATTCTATTCTTTGCTTTTGACCCAACATCTCATGAAGCATCCAAGAACAAATATTATTAGCTACAATCCCTCAGCATCAAGGCTACTGATAAGCTGGAGAGATTATTATCTGATAGCCATACATCTGTTTAAGATAGCCTTACTAGCTGATCCAAATGAAAAAGCAAATCTTATCACTAAGCACCTAATAAATGCCATAATAGACATAAGAATACAGGCCACTCATGTTTGAAAGCTGAATATATAGATTATGGTAGTTTCTAAACTTTTTTTTTACTAAACTTTAATCATTACTGGTCTTCCAGGCATCTTGAAGATTTCAGTATGCTGAAAAGTATGCCTTATTGCCTGAGCCTTCAGTGTGTCTGGTAATGTCACTAGCTGGTTATTTCTAGTCTTATGAGAGTAATTGTTGTTTAGAAAAAAGGTAAAATAATAGAAGTAACCATCAGAGTACAATTTACAGTTAAAAACATGATATGAAAAGTATTTAAAGTTTTTATGTAGAGAGGACAGTGACATGGATTTTTTTTTGAGATAATGTTGACAATAAGCAAAAAAATTGAATACCTCTGTCTCCATAAATTTCTCAATTATAATCAACCTTTTATTTCTAAATACCCTTTTTTAAATCTTAAAAGTTGTTTTGCATCTTCTTTAGGGCCAGACACCTATTTTTCTATCTCCAAAGTTATATCATTTATCATATATTTATCATGTATCATGTATATGTGACAATGCATACCTACAAGCGGGACTGTGTACATATATAAATGGATACAATATGTATATATACATAATATATGGATTTGTGTAATGAACATATCATATAAGTATATATAGTATATAAATGTATGCAATGCATAAGATATACACAATATAAGATTATATACCATATAGATATGTATTATATATATTTACATGATATACAAATACATAATAGATGTATGTATAGTTTATAAATACATACAATAAACAAATGTTTATATATAATATATGAATATGTATAATCTATCTATATATGTAATATATATAATAAATATATTCATTCATGTATGTATGTTTGTATGGTAAGAGTCAATTTTCAGCTAGCTCTCTTTAAGACATAAAATGTGGTACAGGTCATTTTTCTGCCACCCTTCTTGTAGACAAAAAAATAATATATGCAAACAATTGAGTGAATAATTTTAAGAAACTTATCTTTTATGTAATTCTGTTGCAACTCAAAAATAATGGAAGTTATTGGACATGCCAGTGTCTGAGACCCTAAAATGAAAAAATCCTTTTTATCTTTCTACATATATATTAACATATAATGTATATCATTTGTATTTATTAAGAGAAAATTCCACTTAGAACTGAAGCAACTATATCATTAGAATAGTACGGGCTGCCAGTTTGTCACGGTACCCTTAGTCTTGTCAAATGGTAACATATTTTACACCCTGCATATGGACTGTGACTGCCTGAGTTATAGCAATTGTAACCTGTCTGAGTGGCCGGGTTGGCCTCGGATGCAACTTGGCTCAAGGCTTTAATACAAGGTCATTGCCAGCGCACTAAAAATAATAGCATCTTATTTTAATAAATTCTGTTCATGTCTCGCACCTTAACGTGGTACCCTTGTCAGTGAATTGATCGCGTCCTCATTCCCATATAATCATAAGCCTCAGATGCGAATAAAGCCTTACAACTTACAAGAAGACCTGTTATGCATCTGCTTCGGTAGCGTAGTTTTGTAACTGAAGTGAGCTTAACGTAATTCCTTCGCCGTAAGACATTGACAGCCGTCATTTATCACCTAAAATAAACGACACACAGATTACACTCTGTTACCTTAATAGATCGAAGGAAATGTGCTGGTGCCATTGCTGGAGATGCGTAAATACTATGCGCCCGGTTGGCCTGGAGCTGGAGACCCGAGTGTTGCCAAGGCAGCCAAACCTCGAACGGGTGCTGTTGAGATGCCACCAACATATTTTCTAATAAAATATACAGTGTATCATATCATATTTACTCATGCTGATATCTAGATATTAAGCATTTTAACTAGTTTGCGACCATTTGAAATGCCATTCACGTTTTGAAGAAAACGGATACAGGGTTAATTGAAATATCGATCGCGGCAACATCAGCTACACCAATGGCGTAGAAGCTGATTGGCCACCACGGAGGCGTGTGTTGGCATCATAGCCAATCATATTTCTCTATTATTCCTCATCACGTAACTTGGTATGTAACATAATTCAACGCTATTTTTTCTCCAATGACACTTAATACAGTCAGTCCAATAAATACATGCGTTCATCATAAATGAAAAATCACACAAGGTGTATGTTTATACCGCTCAATTAAATAAGTGAAAAAAACTGGCGATTTGCTGATCGTTTTCGCTGAACACTTCAATCAAAAACACTGTGTGTATAATTTACACTAAGTATCTCATGCTCTAGTTTAACTGTTATTGACATGGCCATATATAATCACACCAGTGTGTTACAAATATCAGTTACTGCAATGGTAATTCGGGTATAAGGGAGTAAATAAAAATGGACTAACTCTCCTGGAAAGCAAACCAAACAATTTTGCCAACTTTTAAAAAGCTGCTAATTGTTCTTATCACTTCCGGCAATAACTGGTCCAATTTTGTTGTTTTTACCACAATTTAATATTGTAAAAACATTCATACGTTGGCATAAAATCATTGTTACTTTCAGTAGATGGACATTTTTTTTCATTTATGACTTTAATTATCGTTGACGTCAATATGGATTTTCCTATCAGCAGGGTTGGATCCAGAC